GCTTTCCGTGCCTTTCGGAGGCTCGACTTGCCCGTGTGCGCCACCTTGACGACGATACGCGGCAGAATGTCAATGGCCGCTTCGTCGGTGTCGTCGTCCGTGGCGCACTCGTCACCAAGGGCAGGCTCAAGGCAGGCTTGGTACACGCCGTAGCTGAGAACAACGAGCGTCGGGATCAAGACAGAGTAGCGCGGGAGGATCATGCGAGGCGATGTGGCGGCGTCCGTGCAAAAGATAAACTAACGGCAACTTCGAAAGTCGGGTCTAGTATACAAACAACGATCGACCAATGAAAAATTCGCATGGCACTGACACATCCCCAAAGCCACGCTGTGACGTGGCAGCGCCGTGTCGCAGCACCTCTACCGCCACCACGAGGACTTGACGGCCTCGTGAAGGTGGAGCGATACCAATGCTGCTATAGTGTGGTTGCATATAAACCATGCTTCCATCAGTATTCTACGAAAGGTGCCCGTATAGCGCATAGCATAGCAATGAGCGTGGATGCCCAGTCGTTTGGGGCAAGATATCGAAGGTAGGTGGTAGTTGCGCCAGAAATATGCTTGTCTTTGTCTTCGATTTCAGACAGTGTCTTTACCACGCGGGCGTACGGGCTGCGAAACATAGATGACCGTTGGGTCGTTCGGGTCCACGTACGCCTTGCGCTGCTTCTCTGCAAACGCCTCGTCGACAAGCCCCGCTAGAACATACGCTTCGACATCGATCATGGAGCAAGTACGAACGATGTACCATGCTTCTTGTGCTCCATGAGGCGAAGAAAGATGGGCAAGAACGTGCCTGTGCCACCGTTCGGGAACGAAACACGCCACTCGATCGGCGTCGCCACGTCCCCTTCGTCCGTGCCCACCTAGTTGCATTGGCGTCTCAACTCTGTATGGTGTACTAGTAGTGTTACCGGGAAGACGTCGCCAGAAATGTTGCACGAGCCAAACATTGGCTGGTTGAACTTGTCGTCCGCAATGTTATCCAGTGGGATTTCCTACGTTCGTGCTTAGGCACACCCTTACAGCACCAGCTAACGCGCTCACAAAGGCTTGAAAGAACCGGCCGTGCTGCGTTGCAGCCTTGTCGGCGCAAAACACCAGTCGCTGAGTCGTTATGTAGATGCGACCGGTGGCCTTGAACTTATGTCTACTCCCGGCATCGCCACTGCGCGTGTATTGGGAATCGTACGCACCCGTCGACAAGGCACTGGAACGCGATCGACGGTCGCTCCAGAATGAACACTTCGCCCGTGTTGGCTAGGGGCAGTGCCTTGCCATTGTCACTGAAGAGCGTGGGCGCAAAGGACATGGTATGTGCGATGAAGTCGCGTAAATTTAGCCGACGGTTTCGCGCTCAGGCACAACGCACACTCGTCGAAGTCTCCGCCCAGGATGCAGTTTCACGGTGCAGGAATCGCAATTTGCGACTTTGCGTGGGTGTTGAAGCGCCTTCTGCTCGAAATGAATGTACCACGGTAATACATTTCGAGCACTCTTGCATGGCATGCAACACTGGGTCTTGGGTAATTTGTTTTCCCCAACCTAGTGCAATGTCTTGCATTTGGACTGTTTGGTGCGAGGCAGTGGCGGTCGCTTGGGTCCAGTGTCGTCTCTTGGCCTCGGGAGAGATTTCCAGGAGTTGGATTCAATAATTTATGTTCTGTCTATCTAGCTTAGTAATTATTATACGTGACTTGATTTAGCCAATCAATCCACTTGGATTTTTATAAACACTGCACAAGGCTGACAATGACGACGTGGGCTCATCGTGTCGGATTGGATTGCCTGCCTTGCTCTGCAATTGGTCGCATTTTTAGCCAACCAGTTAACGCTATTCTACTGGTAATACAATTTGTAGGTTGCCGCCACACGTGTTCCTCGAAGAAACGTCTGTACAAATTATATAAACTTCAAATCACACCGTAGACTCGCGCTCATGGTGATAACGTATGGCTCGCGGTGCCTTTCATCGAATGGCGGTGGTCTGGGCGGTGGTGCGATGTTGAGAACTGAGAGACGCCGTATCCGTTTCAGGTATCTTCAACGATGGTCTCCAAGAATCGATGATGTCCATGTAATGTATTCTCACAGGAGGTGGTTTTTGGGTGGCGGAGCTTTGCTCGCACTTGGTCATTTGACGCCCCCTTTCCACCTGCCTTGCATGCTTTTGCGCTGCTAAGCTCGTGTTATGTTCTCGCCTGGGTTGAGCCTTGCGCAGTGCTACTGCTAAGTCTCTTAAGAACGCTGCCGCGATGAAATCGACGTACAACCAGGTGCTGCGTCTACAACTCTTTTTTACGAATTGCGTGCTAGTAGCAAACATATTGCTTTGACAACTCTGGAAGCATGCGCGAAGTATGCAAACAACGCTTGATCTCTCCTCCATAGTAATAGCATGAAGTACTAATAGCGTTAAGCCTCTCCGTAGCGAGGACCGACCCCATAACTCACTACGATCAGTACGTGCCCTCACAGTCTACGTACTGCGTCCGCATAATATCAATTGGATAATTGTAGATCGATCCGTTGTTTGACCACCAAGAGCTGCCGTCCTGGAGTGTTCCCGCTCACTTGAGCGATGGCGACTTTGGCGCCAAATTGATCCTTTTAAAACACATTACCTATGATATACAATTCATGATATACAGTATTAATACCTCTTTCTCGTACGGTATTTACATTTACATTTGCGGCTGAAGAATATAGTGTGACACGAAATACTGTGAGCGCACATGGTGGCGCATGCCTAGCGCGCTGTAAACATCAAATCATCATATCGTGCGCTGTCTTCGTGTATGCCCTTGATAGCACTACACGATTGCTTTGTTTCGTACGAAACACTCCAAGCAAGGCTTTATTGTAGCTTCTTCCGAGGCGCCGACGAGAGCTCTGGGCCTTCAATCATTTATAGTGTGACCCCAGCGTGAAATAGCGTACGAATGTATCCAAACGCGATCACAACCAAGTGCTTCAGGCTTCGGGAAGGGACGAGATGCTTTCGCTTTCTCGCGCGCCTGCCATCGTGGCCCGCGCGCTCGTTCGCTACAAGAAGACAAAGACCTCGCCGAGCGCCTCTGGTACATGCATACATGGAGGTCAGCCTTAGGCGCTTACTGCAGCTTCTGCAGGCGACAAGGGCCAAGCGTTGCAGATGGCCATTCGCCAGATCGAGAGCAGCTTTGGCAAGGGCGCTGTGATGCAACTCGGCGCTAGGTACGTGCAGCTTCGTGGTCCCGTTAGCTCTATGCGGAACCTTGGCTAGTGGCGTCGCCCACGACATAGACGTTGTATCAACGGGTTCGCTCTCGTTGGATGTAGCACTTGGCATTGGCGGTCTGCCGCGCGGGTCTCTCATCATCGACGCTATAACCATAAGGAAGCTCACTACTTTCTGAAATAGGCGGGTGATTGAGGTGTATGGCCCCGAGAGTTCGGGCAAGACGACCCTTGCCCTCCACTGCATCGCCGAAGCCCAAAAGAACGTAGGACTACGCTCAATCCACTGTACGTGAGTCTGACTGGTGCATTGATTGCTTAGGGTGGAACTTGCGCGTTTATTGACGCCGAGCATGCAATCGACGGCCACTATGCCAAGGCTCTAGGTACGTAAAATGACGAAACAATCAGCGCACACCCCTTCATTAGGCGTCAACATTGACGAGCTTTATGTGTCGCAGCCCGACTCTGGCGAACAAGCGCTCGAAATTGCCGACACGTTGATTCGGTCCGGAGCGATCGACGTGGTTGTCGTTGACAGTGTCGCTGCGCTCGTGCCGCGCGCCGAGCTGGAGGGCGAAATGGGCGACCAGCAGATCGCGCTGCAGGCACGTCTCATGAGCCAGGTAGGACGCGTTCCAACAGTGAGTTATGTGCCCATTGGCACGTGCAGGCGCTGCGCAAGCTCACAGGGTCTCTCTCCAAGTCGAACTGCATGATCATATTCCTCAACCAGATCCGCCAAAAGGTGGCAACAATTTCTTTGGCCACAACCTTTACGTAGCTCTCTCTTAGGTTGGCATCATTTTTGGGTCCCCTGAAGTCACGTCCGGCGGCACGGCGTTGCGCTACTATGCATCGAGTACTCTATGCTAGACTGCGTCGAGCTCGAGCTCACCGGGTCGTAGTTCGTCTCGATATCCGCCGCAAGACCCAAATCAAGGAAGGCGAAAACGTATGTTGTGCTCTCCTTACTCTGTAGTCATCAATATTGGCACACCAGATCATTGGCAATGAGACCGTCGTCAAGGTGGCCAAGAACAAGCTCGCGCCGCCCTTCAAAGTCGCCAACTTTGACGTAATTTACGGCAAAGGCATCGACCGCATGTCCGAGATCGTACGTTTCTCATTCATCAGATACTAAACACCAAGACGGATGCTTTTAGCTCGACCTCGGCACGCAGGTTGGCGCCATGAAGCGGTCCGGCTCGTGGTATGCCTACAACGACGGTACTCGATAACTGCGCGCTAGGAAGGTTCTATCTCCTGTATGACTAGAGCCAATTGGGCAAGGACGTAGCAAGGTTTTTTGACGTGGCGCAGTAGGTTTTGGCTCAACCGCGTTCATGACGTAGGCCAAGCAGTTCCTTGAGGCGCACCCAGACATTGCGCGAACGATCGAGGCTCAGATTCGCGCTGCGCTCTTGACGCGCGACGCCCCTCCAGAGCCTTCGCCAGTGCCTGTGGAACCAACCCCTGGTATCGACGTCGATGGGGTTGACATCCACGCCATCATGGCCGAGGTACACGACATGGAAAAAACTGTGCACATCGAGGAGGACACCACCGCGACAACCCGATAATGAGTGCGCTGGTCAACCGCTTTACCCCACTTAAGACAAGATCATACAGATGGCGGAGTCTTAGATATTTGTTACTTAGTTTTGCTCGTCCTGAATCCCTTGTTCCGTGATCGAGTACATGGCTTCGGCCTCGGGGAGGATCGGCGAGTCGATTACCTTCATGACACGGTTTTCGCCACGAGCCTTCTTGAGACGCAGCCTACGTCGTAGGATTTAAGGGACGGCGCACTCGCGACGGACGATATTCTACCGCGTGCACGAGGCGTGCGCCATGATGTTGCCGCCAATCGGCTGCAGCGGATCCTTCGAAAACATGCCCGAGTCCGGGTTCGCTGTCATCTACGACGTGTGAGTGACTGCGCCCGGCCACCATTGTGCGTCGTGTACCTGGTTGGTGATGACGACAGCGACACCAAACTCGTCTGCCATACGTGTGAGGGCGCGAAGAAACCTACATAAAGTCAATGCGCCTGGTCGATAAAAATTACGTCCAAGTACTTGGCCAATTCTTGCTGACGAGCAGCCAGCTCGCCCCGTCCCGAATAGTCGGTGCGGAAGAGTGCAGTGGCACTATCAACGACCACGAGTGCGTATCGCGATTCTGCCATCATCGCGGATGCTTGCGAAAGGAGTTGCATCTGGTGCTCCGAATTGTACGCACGGGCAAACGCGACGTTGTCAAGGACGCTGTCGCCTAGGATGTTGATCGACGTGATGAGTACTCGACGTCATACAGAAGATCATGCGTCGAGCAAGTACCGTCGAGGCCGTAGCGTTCGGCGATCGCGACTAGGCGTTGCGGGCGGAACGTCCCTTCGGTGTCAATGTACAAGGCCTTTCCTTCACCTCCACCCTTGTCGACGGGAAGTTGGCAAGTGACGCACAATTGATGGCAAAGCTGCGTCTTCCCTGTGCGGAACTCGCCGAACATTTCGGTGATGGAGCCTGTCTCGAAGCCTCCGCGGAGCAGTTCATCGAGCGCTGTCGAGCCCGTCGTGAGGGTGATAAGGTCCTTACGACTTTGGAGCACGTCGGAGGCCTAGCACGCCATAAAGGTCAGGGCGTGCCATGGATCGCATGGGATCCACCGTCGTAAAGCCCACGTTGACCATCTCACGAGACGCCTTTATCATCTTGTCAGCCTTCGCTTCAGTGATACCCTTGATCGCGATGAGCTGCTTCTTGGTGGCCATCGCAATCGCGTCGACCGTGTCGGAAGCCGGCGTCCTTCAGC